ATTTCACTTAGATTGTCAGTTTTAGTGGCATTGGGCAAACTTGAGCAAAATAAGTGCTAATAATTGATTTAATTTCATCTTCATTGATGGTTTATTCACTCTTTTCATTTCTGATACTGGTAATTTGGCTCTCTTTTTTCTTTTAATCAAATTAACCAATGTTTTATCTATTTTATTGGGTGGGGTTTTTTTTCATAAAAACCAGCTCTTAGTTTTATTTATTAATTCAATGGAATTTTTTTTTTTACTTTCAACTTTATTCATCTCTCCTTTGATTTTCAGGATTTCCATTTTGATATTTAAATTTGTTTCTTTTTTCTAGTTTTTAAATTATGTGCCCAATTCATTAATTTTTTCATTCTTTTATTAATGTATGTATTTAAAGATATAAATTTTCTCCTAAGTACTTCTTCGTCTGCATCCCACAAGTTTTGGTATATTGTCTCATGGCTATCATTCTCTTTAATGAAATTATTGCTTGTTTCTATGATTTGTTCTTTAATCCACTCATTCTTTAGGATTAGATTATTTATTTTCCAATTATTTTTTTTTAATTTATGGTTGCATGGCCTCTTATTAAACATATTTTTATTATATTGTGGTCTGAAAAGGGTACATTTAATATTTCTGCTTTTCTACAGTTGGTTGTGAGGTTTTTATGCCCTAATATAGGACAGTTTTGTGTAGGTGCCATGTACAGCTGAGAAAAAATGGTACACACCTTTCTATCCCTTTTCAATTTTCTGCAGAGCTCTATCATTTCTAACTTTTCTAAAATTTTATTCAGTCTCCTTAATTTCTTCCTCATTTATTTTGCGCTTAGATATATCTAACTCTGTGATGGGAAATTTGAGTTCCTGCATTAATTTATTTTATTGCTTATTTCTACTTGTTAATCATTTAACTTTTCCTTTAAGAATTTGGATGCTATGCCATATGATACATATATGTTTAGTATTAATATTACTTCATTGTTTATGTTTTCTTTTAGCAAAATGTAGATTCCCTCCTTATCCCTTTAATTAGATCTATTTTTGCTTTTTCTTAGTCTTAGATCATGATTGCTACCCCTGCCTTTTTTACTTCAGCTGAAGCATAATAGATTCTGCTCCAGCTCTCTTATTTTAATTCTGTTTGTGTCTCTTTGTTTCAAGTATGTTTCTTGTAAACAACATATTGTTGGATTATAGTTTCTAATCCATTCTGCTATCTACTTCTGTTTTATGGATGAGTTCATCCCATTAACATTCATAGTTATGATTACAATTAGTAATCCATTTCCCTCCATCTTATTTTCTTGTGTTTATCCTTCTCTTTCTCTTTTTATCCTGTCCCTCCTCTAAAGTCTGGTTTGCTTTTGGCCTTTATTTTATTTGTCCTCCCTTTTATCACAAATTTCTTCTTTTCCCTATCCCCTTCCTGTCCTTTTCTCCTATTGAATAAGATAAATTTCTATACCCAATGGAGTGTGTGTGTGTGTGTGTGTGTGTGTGTATTCTTCCCTTTTTGAACCAATATAGATGAGAGTGAGGTTTAAGTATTGCCCACCACAACACCCTTTGTCTTTTCCTTTTCCTCTTCCTCTTCCTTTCCTTTCTCTTCCTTTTGTCTTCCATCCTCCTTAGCTCCTCCTTGTGTGTCTCTTTTATGTGAAATAATTCTTCCCATTCTTCCTTTCCCTTCTCCTTTTCTCCCCATGTATCCTTCTTTCTTGTTCATCTATTTTTTTTATCATCCCAACATAATAAACACATTCCTAGGTTCTCTGTCTAAACAGAATCCTTCAAACTACCCTAATAATGAGAAAGTCTTAGAAGTATCATCTTTTCATATAGGAATGTAAACAGTTTAACCATATTGAGTCCCTTATGATTTCTTTTTCATGTTTACCTTTGTATGTTTTTCTTGAATCTTGTATTCAAAATTCAGATTTTTTTATTCATCTCAGTCTTTTTATCAGGAATGCTTGGAGTCTTCCATTTCATTAAATATCCACAGTTTTCCTTGAAGTATTATACTCAGTTTTTCTGAGTAGGTTATTCTTGTTTATAATACTTGCTCCTTTGCTTTCCAAAGTATCATATTCCAAGTCCTCTCCTTTAATATGGCAGCTGTTAAATCTTGTGTGATCCTGAATGTGACTTCCTGGTATTTGAATTTCTTTTTGGTTTCTTGAAGTATTTTTTCTTTGACCTGGAAGCTCTGGAATTTGGCTACAATATTCTTGGGGGTTTTCATTTTGAGATCTCTTTCAGGCGGTGATCAGTAATTTTTTTTCCATTTCTATTTTATCCCCTGGTTCTAGGATATCAGGGCATTTTTGCTTATAATTTACTGAAATATGATGTCTAGGCTTTTTTTGTCTATGGCTTTCAGGTAGTCCAATAATTCTTAAATTATCTCTCCTCAATCTGTTTTTCAGGTCAGTTTTTTTTCCAAAGATATATTTCACATTTTCTATTTTTTTCATTCTTTTTACTTTGTTTTATTGTTTCTTGATGTCTCACAGAGTTATTAGCTTTCAATTTAAATTTTTAAGGAGTATATTCTTCAATGAGGTTTCGTACTCTTTTTTGCCATTTGGCTTATTCTTTTTTTATGGTATTGTTTTCTTTAGTATTTTTGTGCCTCTTTTACCAAGTTGTTAATCATCTTTTCATAATTTTTTTCCCTTCCTCTTATTTCTTTAATCTAATTTTCCCTCCACCCCTCTTATGTGATTTTGAAAATCATTTTTAACTCTTCTAGGGACTCTTGTTGGGCTGGTATCGACTTCACATTTTTTTTTCCTTTTGAGGCTTTGCTTTTATCTGTTTTCACACCATTGTCTTCTGAGTTTGTGTCTTGATCTCCCCTGTAACTATAGTTGCTTTTTATGGTTATATTTTTTTTGTTTCTTTTTTGCTCATTTCTCAGTCTATTTCTTGACTTTGAACTTTATGTTAAAATTGGGCTCTATTCCCAGTGTTGGTGTAGGGGGGAGGTTTTTTCTCACTACTGTTTTAAGAGCTAGTTCTGGGGGTTTGGAAATTTTTGGTGCTTCCCAGGTGATACAGGAAGAGGTGTGGTCAGTACTCTCCTGTTCCAAGCTCTAGTCCTTATACAGGAAGGGCCCCTGATTCCTTGGGATTGAAATCAATACTGCCCCCAAATGCCCCTGTTCCTTTGGGACCATAAATGTTACTGTTCCTCAGGGTCCCTGCTCCCTCATGACCAAAAGTTCTCCTCTCCACCCTTGAACTGTGACCTGGAAGTGGGTATAGGCAATGAAGCTGTCACACAGAGTCTGGTCCTGTACCCAGTGCTAGCACAGGTGTCCTCTGTAATCCCTTTCTGACCAATTGTCCAATGCCGTTAACCATCTATGACTTGAGATGTCATGAAGTTTCTACTGTTGCTGTTACCTACCATACCCAAGTCTCACTCCTGTGCTGCATTTATGTAGGCTCCATGTCAGCCTCCACCCCCATGTCACAGATCTCTTCTTCTAACCTCCTAAGTTGTTGTGGACTGGAAGAATGTCTCATCAATTAATTATACATTACACAACCCTATAAGAGCACTTTCATTGTTCCCACTATAATGAAATGATTATAAAAATTCTTATTTGTTTTTTGCTTATGCTAAGCAAGAATAAAATTCAGCCTAACATACCTATATCTGTATCATTTACCTGCCTAAATTATTTTCTTGTCTTGGTCCATTGGAGATAGTTGGCTGATACTTTTTATTCATACTTTTTAGACTATTGGGGGACAATTCTATAATACAGCCTTATTAAACAAGGAATATTTTAGACATGAACTTCTTTACTTGTCCAAAAAGAAGCAGAGCCAGTATTTAAAAGGCTGGCCCTTTTCCAAGTTTTTTGCATAAAGAGATGTTCTGTCGACCTCTTTTTGACTCAGAGTTACAAATTCAACACTGAGCTCACCCATAACTGGGATTATCATCAATGGAAATAATAAAGGCATGTGTTAGCCCATAGTGATTAAGTGTGAAAATCAACTATGACTTTGGAGAACTCTCTTCTTGTTACATACAGCTGCTACTGCTTATACAGAACCTTAAACATTTCTTCTTCAGTTCCATTTCAGAAAGAAATGTCAGCCTGCGCACTGTCAAGAATATGAAGGAGGCAGCCCAAACCTGACTTGGCTCTAAAACTCTAAATTCAAGCCAAAGTAAATGAGCTGACTAAAGGCATATGGAAAATAAAAGCATGAAGTGATAGACAACTTCTGTCAGTACTAAGAATAAAGGATTATCTTTGGCATGTTCCTCAGAGTGAGAGAGCAATGCTAGGGTCCAGATTTTAATCCTGGATAGAGATTCAAGTCTCCTGTCCTTTACTCAAATTTAAGATGGAACTTAATACAGACCATTCCCATGACTTCCCTCAGAGTGAGTATCCTTCTTTAATGAGAGCTTTGCTTTTTCATTCTGTCCCAATTGTAAAGATTGTGGAGGTCATAAAGATTCGAGTTTATGACAAACTAGTATAGAACAATACCCAGAATTGATTGGTCCATTCAATCACATTCCACAAAGATTCATTAAGTTCTGAAACAGTACATACAAGATGCTTTGGTAGAGTACTCAAGAAATAGAAGACATAGTCTCAGCTCTCAAAAATATACAGTTTAGTTAGAGATACAGTATTGGATATATATGAATTATCTAATTTACATTCATATCCTCTTCCATAGAATGTAAGTTTGTTCAGGGAACAATCTGCTTGTCATTTTATTTTTGTATTTATCACCTAGGATAGTGTTTGTGTCCTGAATAGTTGTTGTAAAGACTGACTGGATAATATTGATACACAAATAAATATTAGCGATCACTCCAAGATCATGTTTATCAAGTATGTATCTTAACCTGACAGGCTTAGCAGTTTCTTCATTTCAAGAGTGAAGCAAGCAATTAACAAAAAAACAGTTGCTGGAAATGTTTACATTTATAAAAATCCAACATTTCATTTTTTTTTTTTTACTTACCATCAGTTACAGTTAATTTCATCACAAAGGTTTCATTTTCTCCTGTGTTGGTGGTTAAACAGCATTGGTAAAATCCTGAGTCAGAAGCAGTGACATTGTGAATGATGATAGAGCTACTTTTCATCCCTTGGCTGCAGCTTGTCAATATTTTTCTTTGGTATTTTAAGCCATAACTTTTCCCATTGCTCAAGTTACAGAAAGTTAAGTGGTCAATCTGATGTGACTGAATTCTCTCCCATGTCACACGTTTCAAGGGGCTGGTCAGTTGAGACTGAAATATGAATTTGACATTTTTTCCAGGTTCTGATACCATATGGCTATTGAATGGAACACGGATTTCAAAATCATCTGAAAAGAAACAACAAAGCATTTCATATATCTGTTGTTATAGCATGACAATCTTTTGAAGGTAATAATGCTTTTAAAAATCTTTCAATAATAATTAATACTGGTATTCAAAATAGTCTTCCTAATTCTGACCTCTGAGGCAAAGCAAAACACATCAAATTCCATTAAAAACCTGTTTCCTTATTTGTAAAAATATGAGGTTGATTTTTTCCATGTTCTGATACCATGTGGCTATTAGATGGAACATGGATTTCAAAGCCTTCTGAAAAGAAGTAATAAAGTGTTTCATATATCCAAGTTTTGTAGCAGCATAACAACCTTTTGGAGGTAATAATGCTTTTAAAAATCTTTTAATGATAATTAATATCGGTATTCAAAATGGTCTTCCTAGCTCTGCCCTCTGAGACAAAGAAAAACAAATCAAATTCCATCAGTTTCCTTTTTATAAAATGTAAATAAACCTACCTCATGCCTGGCATAGAATCAACTGACTTTTACTATGTATCCATTATATGTATGACACATAGAGATGATACTTTAGTGGATAGACACTAGCTTACAGTTAAAAAAATCAAGTCCTGCTTCTGACATAAATTAGCCATGAGTGCATAGGCAAGTCATTTAACCTCTCAATTTCCCAAGTCTTTAAGCCACTCTCTAAGGTTATATATACAGATGAGTTGTTCCATTGGTGGAAGAAATTTCTTCATTGAGAGTCTCAATAGTGATTAAATCACAAGCCCAGATTTTTTTAAAATGCTGATGGCACTATGCAAGGTGCTGAGGATATGGAGGAAAAAATGTGATAGTGGCTGTTCTCAAGAAATTTATATTCTACTATGAAGATAAAAATACATGCACATATAAGTGAATACAAGGAAATTTGGAGAAAGAGTGAGCATTAATATCTGGGTGGATCAGGAAAAGTTTCATGGCAGCTCCTGAACTGAGCCTTGGAGGAAAATAAGGATTCTGAGAGGAAGAGCTGAGGAAGAACTACATTCCAGGAAACATTACCAATAACTAGGCATTTAGGACATGATCAATTCACCATAATTAGATTATAAACTCCTTAGGGGCAGAGATGAGGCTTGTAATTAGGGAAGGTTGATCAGGGCTTTTTTCAGGGTGTAAACATCTTCCTTCTGATAGTCCCTTGCCATATGAGTGACCACCTCTCTTCCCATCCTTAGCCTTGGGAAGCTACTGGTTTTTTTTTGTTTGTTTGTTTGTTTTTGCAGAACCCCACTCTTTGGGCTCACCTGACTGATGTCTTCCCCTCTTACAGGCCACCTGGTCAGATAGATTGTCTCCCAATACTCCTCACCTAAATTTACTCAAGGATCACTAATTGCTAGTTATATCTTTGGCAGATATCCTGCGGGATAAACAAATGCTTGGTCTTATAATTTAGATAACTTCCTTTCCACTAATGATGATTCAAGTTCATTTAACAGAAGTTGTATTCCACAACTAAAAATATACTTGAAATACATGTGCATTTCAATGTATTGATTTAAAATTACACTAAGTTGTCAATAATAACCATGCTTGAGGACAGGCTTTGAAAGGAAGAAGGATGATGGGTGCCTAAAAGAGAGGGAGTGAAGAGGGATAGTCAAAATAAAGTTATAGATCAGGGAAAGAGTTTCAGAAAGTGGAGCCTCAGATGCCAAAGACACAGTTTGCCCACTTCAAAATTTTATACAGGGACAGCATCACCTTTCCTGGAACAAGCAATTATTGTACTCTTTGAGCAGAAGCATGTTGCAGAGAAGAAAAGTCTTTGTCTTCTGTTTAAGAAAGAGTTTTCTGATAATTAAAAAATGGAAAGAGCAGCATCCAGAGGTAGTGAGTTCACTGTCACTGGATTAGCAATAGTTGGGAACATCACAGAGACAATCAGGATCACGCTTGGAGAAAATGACAACTGAGGTCATTTTCATCTGATAAGTGGAACAGAAAGAACTGCAAAAACCCATGACCACAGACCAAAGGTTGATTTTTACATACGAAAGGTAAGATCGAAACTATCGAACATTTTTGAAACCATGGAACGTTTTTGTTGATTACCAGTAACTGTAACCTTTTCAAATATAAAAGACAACAAAGGTGTTAGAGGACATACTCCTAATGAGAAACAGCTTAAGAAATCGATTTCTACATATCTTTAAAAATAAATAATAACTGGCATATATGTACCACTTTAATGTTTCTAACACTTGAGGCAGCTAGGTGACACAGTGGATAAAATACTGAATCTAGGGTGAAGAAAGACTGAATTTCAATCTGGCCTCAGATACTTGCTAGCTGTATGACTCTGGGCAAGTCACTTATGCTCTATTTGCCTCAGTTTTCTCAACTATAAAATGTAGCATCTATTTCACAGGGTTGCTGTAAGGATCAAATGAGATTATATTTGTAAAGCACTTAGCTCAGTGTCTGGCACAAAGTATGTGTTTACTTCCTTCTTCAGTATATTATTTTATGAAACATTCTCAGAAACCATAGGCATTTTATATTTTGGGGAAACTGAAGCCTAGAGAGGATGTGACCTACTATCATCACATGGCTAGTAGGTATCATCAGTAGGAGTTAAGCCCAAAGCTTGCCTGACTTCAATTCCTATACTCTTTCCATTCCAGCATAATTCCTTGAAATAATCTAAAAACTCACTATCAGGGGCAGCTAGGTGGCACAGTGGATAGAGCACTGGCCCTGGAGTCAGGAGGACCTGAGTTCAAATCTGGCCTCGGACACTTGACACTTACAAGCTGGGTGACCCTAGGCAAGTCACTTAACCCCATTGCCTAGCCAAAACTCAGTGATTTCAGCACTAGTTCCACTGGGGTTGAGTCTCATCTGTAGCTTTGGTCCAAGTGACCTAGTGTTTAAAATAATTCGCTGTCCTTCCTCATTCTAGACTGAGAAAAATGTCTCTACTTCAGAAAGCTGCACACACCTCTGGCTAAGTCAGTCATATACAGTATCAGTTAAATTAATCTGAAGTGTATAAAGATAGGAGCCACTTCATAGTATGAGGGAGGAATTTTGAAGATCTTATAGAAACTGACAGTTAATCATAAAGCCAAAGAATACTAGGATGAGTTGCACCAAAACCATAGCAACTGAAATCCTAATCTAAGAGTTTTACCACAGACTTTCTGCTTGACAAATTTCTATAGAAAAATCAGAAGTTTAGTTCAATCCTCCAATATCCTTTAACCCAGGAAAAGGAAAGTCTTTCAGCCTATTGTCATTATGAAATTCATAAAATTAAATCTTTAAGGAGATATTTCACGGGATATTTCAAAGCAGAGAACTTAGCAAATGCCATATCCATACTAGGAAAGGTCATATTTCTAACTACACTTATTCTCTGCTGGAGTATAAGTTGCTGCCCCAGATGGCCATATTAGGTAGGGGAGGGGTTCCCACCCTCATCCAGGGCTGTTTTACATACATGCTGAGGAAGGGTACACTATGTGGCATTGTCTAAGGGAAACCAAGAAGGCCCCAGCTCAAAAACCTTTCTTTCCTCCTGTTACTTCAAATTCTACCATTAGAAATGCATTTTATCTATAGTTTCCCAATAAAAATGAAAATCAGGTGGGGGAGGGGAGCATAACACATTAAACCTTTCATAGAATCCTAGACTCACTGAACCTTAAAGCAGTGGTTCTTAGCCTTTATTTTATTTGTCACATCAGTTAGGTGAATCCCTTCTTTAGTACATAAAATAAAAGACATAGGATTATAAAAGAACCAATTATGTTCATGTATAGTTAATAAAATATTTTTAAAAATAAAAAACAAGTTTGTGAATCCTAGATCAAAAGGAAACTTAGAAGTCATATAATAAAAAAGCATAAATCCCCTCCTACAACACCCGTAATAATCACACAGAGTTTACTAGGCTCCACTTTACTCTCCAGCTTGTGAAGCTGTGATTTCAATTTTGTGACAGTTTCAATTGTTAGAAAGTATTTATTTTTAGTGAGTTGGAATCTGCATTCCTACATCTTTGCATTTGGTACTAATTTTGCCCTCATGAGTCTAACAGAACAAATAAATCCTTCTTCAAAGTAATTTTTCAAATATTTGAATTTCAAAAATTCCCTGTTCTCCCTGCTTCTCTTCTCAGGGATAAAAATTCCAAATCCTCCAGTTGCATGGTTTTAAATCTCCTTATTTGAATAATAATTGGCATTTATATAGCACTTTATTGCTTACAACTAGTGACACAGTGGACAGAGTACTGGGCCTGAAGTGAGGAAGAACTGAGTTCAACTCTGGCCTCAAATACTTACTGGTCAACTGGTCACTGGTCAATATCACTCCTAAAATCTGGAAGTCAAAAACATTCTCTAGATGTAGTTTTACCAGAGCAAGATACAATAGGACTATCACCTCCCTCACTCCAGAAAATATTAAGATCACCCAAGAGACCACATTTTTACAATCACACAATTGACTAAAAGGTGCAGAGAGTACAAGATCCTTTCTATTTATCTTTTAGAGATTTCAATAAAGTATCTGACATTGTAGGAAAAAAAACAGCCCTGAAGACTTTTTTTTTCCAATAAGGAGTCACTAATCCATATGTTAAGACCATTCAAGATTCCTTGATGAATGCAAGTAGTGAAAGTACAGTTCATTGGTTCTATTATTAGAATCATGGGAGGCATAAAATGGAAGACATATACTCTTCAAAGGTATTCTTCACTATCATCTAGGATATACTGCCTAGGATATACATGGAAGGGAAATACCCTATAGATAACAAGATTGTCCAGTTGCATCAAGGTCCAGAACATTACAGGACCTCATCAATGAGATCTATTATTATTCAAAAGAGATTAACCTAATGATTCAAAAGACATGATAAATGCCTATTATGTTGATTATAAATGCATGCAGTTGGATGGCCAGTCCATTAAGATCTGAGGTGAGAGGACAAAGTAATGTATATTACTGAAAAGAAGTCTTGTGCACTTAGG